GGCTGGTCTGAGTATTGCAGAAACTGCTAATCTACTGGGATTTTCACGCACAACCATCTCTAGGGTTTACAGAGAATGGTCCGAAAAAGAAAAAACATCCAGTGAGCGGCAGTTCTGTGGGCGGAAATGCCTTGTTGATGCCAGAGGTCAGAGGAGAATGGCCAGACTGGTTCGAGCTGATAGAAGGGCAACAGTGACTGAAATAACCACTCGTTACAACCGAGGTATGCAGCAAAGCATTTGTGAAGCCACAACACGCACAACCTTGAGGCGGATGGGCTACAACAGCAGAAGACTCCACCGGGTACCACTCATCTCCACTACAAATAGGAAAAAGAGGCTACAATTTGCAAGAGCTCACCAAAATTGAACAGTTGAAGACTGGAAAAATGTTGCCTGGTCTGATGAGTCTCGATTTCTGTTGAGACATTCAGATGTTAGAGTCAGAATTTGGCGTAAACAGAATGAGAACATGGAACCATCATGCCTTGTTACCACTGTGCAGGCTGGTGGTGGTGGTGTAATGGTGTGGGGGATGTTTTCCTGGCACACTTTAGGCCCCTTAGTGCCAATTGGGCATCGTTTAAATGCCACGGCCTACCTGAGCATTGTTTCTGACCATGTCCATCCCTTTATGGCCACCATGTACCCATCCTCTGATGGCTACTTCCACCATGTCACAAAGCTCTAATCATTTCAAATTGGTTTCTTGAACATGACAATGAGTTCACTGTACTAAAATGGCCTCCACAGTCACCAGATCTCAACCCAATAGAGCATCTTTGGGATGTGGTGGAACGGGAGATTCGCATCATGGATGTGCAGCCGACAAATCTGCGGCAACTGTGTGATGCCATCATGTCAATATGGACCAAACTCCCTGAGGAATGCTTCCAGCACCTTGTTGAATCTATGCCACGAAGAATTGAGGCAGTTCTGAAGGCAAAAGGGGGTCCAACCCGTTACTAGCATGGGGTACCTAATAAAGTGGCCGGTGAGTGTATATATCCTATATGTATATATGTTGCCCCCTCATTTAAAGACGGGACCCCCCAAAAATAAAATTCTGGCTACGCCCCTAGTATATAGTCTAAAGTATGAAAGAAATGTATGTACATTTTTAGAATAACTAATTTCTACATTAAACACAACAATACGCCATCGCATTCGTGACTCTCCTATGATTAAAGGCGACACTTCCGGTTTTCTTCCCACCGGAGCCATTTCAAAATGGCGGCTGCGTGAAATCAGCGTATAGCCCCTGTGGAATTGCATACACTTGAATGTAAAGCTGCAGTCCGCAGTTTTTCCTCTTTGTCGCCATCTCTGTTCGAAATCTGCAATTGCAGTCATTCGCGGAATTATCAACTTTACGTGAGTTGTTCCTCGAGACGGCACAGCGCGGATGAATCCGTTTTGAGGAGAATGTGCAGCTGTCGATCGCTTATCATATCACGTCAAACCGTGCAAATTATACTTTGCTGTCAAATTGTTAATGTTAACAACATCAGCATTGCGTGCCGTGACTACAATTAATGCCCTTCAGATATTTATCTTTGTTTTCGCATGGTTCCAGTTGCAGTCTCTTTTTCCAAACTCTCAGTCCAAAGTCTTTCGCATTTTACAGCGGGTGAGTCTGTAGTTGTCTCTGGTGATCGTCGTTTGAACCTTTCTGGATCCGCCATCAAATTAATACGTTTAATTATATCAAGTGCTGTGAGAAAAGGCTATAAATCTCCACCTCCAACATCCTCACACACAACTTTTTTAGGGACCAGAATATCACTTGAAGGGAAACAGTACGAAATCACCTAGCAACCTCCCAGTACATCATAACAACTCCATAGCAACCTGATAACAACCAATCAGAACACCTCAGCAACCCCATAGCAACAATCAGACATCACGGTATCAGAAGTGTAAGAATCTAGTTGCACACTGTTCTTATAGTTACAGTAAAGTGAGTGAGTGAGTGAGTGAGTGAGTGAGTGAGTGAGTGAGTGAGTGAGTGAGTGAGTGAGTGAGTAAGTGAGTGAGTGAGTGAGTGAGTGAATGCTGCTCAGTTATTCAGCGCATGTTTTCAGGGTGTGTCACGTGAGACTCTCTCAGACACCCATTAGACCACATTTAATCAACTGTGTGAACTGAAAAGTGCTTTGACAAACCGCGTGTGTGTGTGTGTGCGTGCGTGCGTGCGTGCGTGTGTGTGTGTGTGTGTATGCGGTCGTCTTGTACCTTACATCGGCTGTGGATTTGTTGAGCCCGGTGAACCGAGTTTGCCTGTTTGCCCTTTTTTGGACACTGGGATAATTGCATTTTATTGACAGTGCCCTTGAATGAGGACGGGACGTATTTCAGTGGAGCTGTTTTTGGATGCCATGTTGATGGACATGCACACACACACACACACACACACCATTGAACAAGCTAGCAGACATTCACTCACTGTGTGTTAATAATTACCGGCCACTCCACACACACACACACACACACACTTTCTCTTTGAATATGACATTGGCTCTTACTTACCTTTGAATGACTTTGAAATGAACACAGCAAACACAATGGCAGTGAATGTTCAGTGGGAAGGGAGAGTCATCTATTAATTTACAGTCTTGTTGATCACAGGGCTTAAACTGCTCTGCTAGATTATAACTAGATTTTTTCTCTCTACTAATTTTTTCACAACAAATATATTTTGGCTTTCGTCACTGTTATGTTTGACTTTCTTCAGAAAAAAATATTAACAAAATCAAAAAATTGATTCAGGGAAGTTTCTGAAATTTGGTTGATTTGACATGGAATGACCAATTTCCATAATTTGTGATTAAAAATAACGATTTAAAAAGAAAATCATTTTTATCAAGATTGCAATTTTATCAAGCCATTTCTACCCCATTAAATGATTTAGAGCATGATATATACTCAGACTATATACATTTCTGTGACTTCTTAGGTCTTTATTATTTTGCATTATTATTATCTTGTCTTGGAAATCATGGAAGCATGAAACTGATTGTCACGGTCACCAGCTAGTCACCACCTCCTCACTACATTTCCCATCATCCTCTCTGGACCTCACCTGCATGCACTCCCCAATCACAGAGATCGCTGTCACTAATCTTCACTGATCATCATCCAGCACTATATATAACACTTCCCACTGCAGTTTACCATGGTCTGGTCTCGTCGTTCCCTCAAAGAACACTTACCTGCCTCCTTACCTGACTCCTCACCTGCCTCCTTACCTGCATCCTTACCTGACTCCTTACCTGACTCCTTACCTGACTCCTTACCTGACTCCTTACCTGACTCCTTACCTGACTCCTTACCTGACTCCTTACCTGACTCCTTACCTGACTCCTTACCTGACTCCTTACCTGACTCCTTACCTGACTCCTTACCTGCCTCCTTACCTGACCCCTTACCTGACTCCTTACCTGCCTCCAATCCTGACTCCTTACCTGCCTCCTTACCTGCCTCTTTACCTACCTCCTTACTTGCCTCCTTACCTGACTCCTTACCTGACTCCTTACCTGACTCCTTACCTGCCTCCTTACCTGCCTCTTTACCTGCCTCCTTACCTGCCTCCTTACCTGACTCTTTACCTGACTCCTTACCTGCCTCCTTACCTGCCTCTTTACCTGCCTCCTTACCTGCCTCTTTACCCGCCTCCTTACCTGACTCCTTACCTGACTCCTTACCTGCCTCTTTACCCGCCTCCTTACCTGCCTCCTTACCTGCCTCCTTACCTGCCTCCTTACCTGCCTCCTTACCTGCCTCTTTACCTGCCTCCTTACCTGCCTCCTTACCTGCCTCTTTACCTGAACCCTTACCTGCCTCCTTACCTGCCTCTTTACCCGACTCCTTACCTGACTCCTTACCTGCCACCTTACCTGCCTCTTTACCCGCCTCCTTACCTGACTCCTTACCTGCCTCCTTACCTGCCTCCTTACCTGCCTCTTTACCTGACTCCTTACCTGCCTCCTTACCTGCCACCTTACCTGCCTCCTTACCTGACTCCTTACCTGCCTCCTTACCTGACTCCTTGCCTGCCTCCTTACCTGCCTCTTTACCTGCCTCCTTACCTGCCTCCTTACCTGCCTCCTTACCTGCCTCCTTACCTGACTCCTTGCCTGCCTCCTTACCTGCCTCTTTACCTGACTCCTTACCTGCCTCCTTACCTGACTCCTTACCTGCCTCCTTAACTGACTCCTTGCCTGCCTCTTTACCTGCCTCCTTACCTGCCTCCTTACCTGCCTCCTAACCTGCCTCTTTACCTGACTCCTTACCTGCCTCCTTACCTGACTCTTTACCTGACTCTTTACCTGACTCCTTACCTGCCTCCTTACCTGCCTCCTTACCTGACTCCTTACCTGACTCCTTACCTGCCTCTTTACCTGACTCATTACCTGACTCCTTACCTGCCTCTTTACCTGCCTCTTTACCTGACTCCTTACCTGACTCCTTACCTGACTCCTTACCTGCCTCTTTACCTGAGTCCTTACCTGCCTCCTTACCTGCCTCCTTACCTGCCTTATTTCCTGACTCTCTACCTGACTCCTTACCTGCCTCCTTACCTGCCTCCTTACCTGCCTCTTTACCTGACTCCTTACCTGCCTCCTTACCTGACTCCTTACCTGCCTCTTTACCTGACTCCTTACCTGCCTCCTTACCTGCCTCCTTACTTGCCTCCTTAACAGAACTATTTGTCTTCAGTCATCTGCTTCCTTCATCTGTCTTCAGTCATCTGCCTCAATCTCCATTTCAGAACCTGCAACAGATAAGACCATTATTCATCCAGATATCCATCCTGAACACTATATTCATCAGTTATTCACCTGCTCCCATCGTTGTGATCAAATATTTCTGCAAATAAACCTGTTGATTACTTAACCTGTGTGAATCCTTCTGTTTCATGACACTGATGAGATGTAATCCGATCTTGAGGTTGTTGGTGTAATAGCCTGCTGTTAGAGTGTGTGTTTGTGTGTTGCCAGGCTCCGCGGATGGGCACACTCATGGGCGTTTACCTGCCCTGCCTGCAGAACATCCTGGGTGTGATTCTGTTCCTCAGGATGACCTGGATGGTGGGCATCGGCGGGGTCATTGAGTCCTTCATCATCGTCCTCATGTGCTGCTCCACGGTGAGTCACACACCATGCAATATGTGCGATTGCTAATCTGTTTATTTGTTCCTATTTTAATATTGACTGTTTACTTGTCTTTAATAATGGTTGACATATCTATAAGCTAGGCTAGCTGTTTTTGCTGTGGTATTTTTGTTTGGTAAGTTCCTTGTGCAAGTGTACTTTAAGCTGCTGATTTTTGTTCACTTACAATAAAATGTTTTGCAAAAAGACAGAATAAATATGTTTGATATCTAAGGGTGTTTTCAACCTTGGTTTGCTCCCCTGCGCCCCCTCGACTGTGTTTACATCATATGGATAATACTGTACATAATGGCACATGCGTCTATCTACTGCAAATGTACTGCAAATGTTCCAAAGAATGAGGGAGTCCATTTCTGCTAAAATACAAATGAGATGTACATGCTTGCAGTAGGAAAAGTGAGTGAGAACAAGCACAAACACAGTTTAATCAAATCATACGTCATCAATTGAGGCTCACTTCCGCCGAAAACATTCACATCATCCAAACGAACTGAAGTCTGACATCATTTTTTTTAAATGATTGGAATTTAAACTAGGAATCAATTAGCAGAATCCGAATTGGAATCGCTGAGACAAATTTTTTTTGTTGTTGCAAAAATTCAGTTCAATGTTGTAAAGTAAAAAAAAAAAATTAAACACACTTTGTACCATTGTTACATTAAATTCCTGCAAATATGACAGAAGTTGTACTCCTGTGGCAAACGTAAGGGTAATTGTGCTTTAGACCACACATGGAGTATCGATTGAGTCCAACCTGAATGCACCATTTAGTGGTGGCATATTTTACTAATAAAATGATAGTGCGAGAAGAATAGCGTGAGCTTTTATTACGTTTAACGCATGCTCGTTTTCCGGCGTTTCACTGTGTTCTGAAACGTGAACGCCGTTTTCAAATTTATCCAGATTAATGTAGACATATCCTAAGATATCATCCTGCCACATTAGATTCTGAATTTGCATGTCCCACATTTACAAAGACTCGCTGATGATTATGTGTATGCCTTCACCTGCTCATATGTGCGTATGTGTTTCGCTTCAGTGTACATGCTCATTAGTATGTGATTTTTATGTTTGCGTGTGCAAGATTATCCAGCGCCCGTGGAAGTGCTATTTTTATCATGAGCTCAGGAGTCTCATTCTTTTCTTTCTCATCTCTCTTTCTCTCTCTTGCACATAGACATGCTCTGTAATTGCATACTACAAAACTTTTCTCGAAGTGTGAACCGCATTAAAATTGCCAATATATGCTCAGCTATGACAGCAGATCACTAACTGTGGTCAATGACCTTAAAATTATTATTTGATCAGACTGAAGATTTTTTTTAATCGAAAAATAGTATTTTTATTTCAGAAATGATAACTGGACACCATTTGCTGTATTAAACAAGCAAGGTGCTGAAGCGTACTACTGTTTTGTCTGCATTTATGGTGGTAATGCATCATGTTGCACATGCTATTAAGAAAATTGTAAGCAGCACTTGTTTTTATCCCTGTAAAGAAAGCAGCATGTACTAGTTTGGATCCATCAGGAAAACCTCTCCTGCCGTTTGTAGAAAAGCTCTTTTGTCACTTGTTGGAGTTGAATCCACCAAACAGAGATTTCAGCAACACGATGCATCCATTTAAAAAGCATACAGGTGCTTTCAGACAAAAACACTGAAGCTAAAAGCCGCTCGCCTAGATGTCGTCCAGCAACAGGTGATGCTAAACATAGAGAAGCTGCTGGGTGTTAAGGTCCGCATGCCGTTCCATCGGATTACACACTGTGTGTGTGTGTGTGCTGACATGAACAGTGTTTCCTGATGATGTCTAATAAGCTGACTGAAAGGCCATCTTTCTTTTCTGGTGTCTGTCTAGCTGCTCTAGTGACGTGTTAAGCCTTGTTTTGAAGGATTTGACTGCCTCAAGTGCCTATGTTTGGATCACATGTTTGAAGGACACGGAATAAGAAAGCACAGATAAAACAATAATATGATCAGATATTTTTAGGACTTTTAAAAATTTGTTTGCATTGCTTTATTACACATTTGCTCCCAGTTTTCATTGCAGATGTCCAGATGTTTTACTTTTGAGGCTTTCCTATTATTCTCAGGGCTCTCATTAGATTATCATAAAATAAAAATTAAACGCTATATGATGTATACATTACAAATTAAATAATATAATCACTATTTAAATAATTTAATCACAAATTAAATAATGCAGTCGCTATTATTTTCACAATTTTCTTACATTAAAGTAATTAAAATTTGAGGTGGAGAAAATGGGCTTAATTTTCATGAAAATGTCAGTTCAAAACATCCTAATGGTCTTAAAATTAGGCTTTGTTTTTGTTATGCAAAACAATTTAAATAGCAATTAATTAGTTACTTTCTATTCATATTTTTCATTTTAGTTTTATCAAATCTTTGCTTTTATTTTTATATTTTCAGTTTTTAGTTGTTTATTTTTTAGTAATATTGTTTGTCACTCTTTTTATATATATTTCTAAATAAATAGTTTTGATTTTATTTTTAGTTCAGTTATAGTGATTTTAATTCTTCAACTTATTTCAGTTCAGAATTTTTATTTAGTTGACATTTTTCATATAAAATTTTATTTAATCTTTTTTTCAATTAACAAAATGTTTTGGTTAATGATGATTCCACTTCTTTTGATGTTGGTGTGTTACACCCCGTCTAGGGGGAAAGGGGCAACATGAAAGAGTCAACGAAAAGCGAGGAATTGGAACAAGAGTTATTTATTTTCTTAATTTGGGACTTACGATTCAGGAGCTGACAAAGCCAAAATAACAAACAAAACAACCTTAAATTTAAACCTCTTTCCTAAACCTTAACCCAAAAGAAAAGAAAATGAAGATACAATCAATAAACCTATCTCCCAAACCAAAAACAGAGATTAAACAGTTTACAATAAAGAAAATAATGGCGTCGAGCTCCCTACTTTCCCAAAAATCAATCAGTATTTACAATATATACAGCCAGGCAAACAAACTGAAAAGGGCAGTCCAAATCAGTGTCGGTAAACAGGCAAAGGGTCAAATATACCAATGAGGATATTCAGATACAAACAGCTTTCAAAACAAATAAACAAACAGTACTCACAGTCTCAAAACTCTTAACATCTCTCTCTGCTCAAATCACAATCTCTCTCTGCTCAAATCACAATCTCTCCTGACTTCCTGTAAAGGAAGTGATGATGTCTCTTTTTAAAACAAGCTGCACCAATCAGGATCGAGCAGCAATCATCGTGCACGAACCAATTAGATGGGCGTTCCAATCATCCCAAATTATGTGAAAAGCCACAGCCATCAGAAGCTATGTTTCCATCCGCACATTTTTATCCGCATTAAGTGATATCGAATGAAAAATGCCTTATGGAAACAGTAAAATTCGATTGAATTTCATGAATATCGACTCAAATGAAATACGTTCGGTCTCATCGGATTTTATCTTGATCGATAAACGGCTTATGCGATAAACGCGGATGGAAACGTTATTATGGTGCGATCCATTTTGCCTAGTAAAACTTTGTTCACAAATGTTGGCTTGAATGTTGTGCAATTCGGTGAGAAAATGAATGGAAACACCTTAACATGTCTCAAATCAATTCGATATACCAATTTGATCGCAAAACAGCATGTGACGTCATTACGTACAGGTTTTTATCCGCTTTAAAGCCGTTTGATGGAAACACACTTTCACCAGCTTTACTCGCATGAGGTTTTTTACCGAAATTCAGATAATTCGATTGACAAGTGGATAGAAACATGGCTAGAGACACTCAAAGATAATGAAGGCCTTACAGAATCCTTCCAAACGAGGTTAAAACGGCCTCTGAGACGTTTTTCAGGTGTGCATGAAAACATGTCCCTGTGAGACTGTGTGTCTTGATGACTTGTCTTCAACTGGTGCATCTCAATGACTTTCCAAGGAAAATGTGCATGTATGATTTATCTGCCCGTCCGCACCATCAGGGTGGTGTGAGCGTCACCTCAACATCCGTCTGTGGTTTTTGAATGAGTGTATACATGCATCATATTTAGAAGTAGCGAGACGCTATCAATGTCATCTGAAATTACCAGCTCATTGCCAGACGCCCATCGCTTGCTTTTCATTGCGTTCGGTCTCTCATGGCAACAGATGGAGAGGAGGAGAGAACGCTGATTCTTTCATACATCACAGAGATGGAGACGCTCGCCTCTCTAAGACAGACTGAAGACATTAGAAATGCAGTAATGAATCATTAAAGGACACAAACAACAGCATCGATCGACTTTCAAATAGTCGGCAGGCGCAGAAACATTGACAGGCGGATGACAGACAGCGCTCCGGTTATTTATGGGTTGAGACAGCCGGGAAAGATTCTGTTGAATAATCAGATTATTCATAGGAATATATTAATACATGAATATTAATTGTTTTCACTTGTGTGTGTGTGTGTGTGTTGTGTATTCGGTGATGTAGATGTAATTAAATCAACACTTAAATCAGAGACAACGAGAATTAGCCGGATTCTAAGGTAGCATGACATATATAATTTGCAGAGAAGTCAATCCCAGAATGCATTGCTCAAGCTCCAATATGGAAGGCAAAGCGATAGAAATGTTGATTATAAATATACCACTATGAGCTTGCATGTTGCTTGAGATCAGATCTTTGTGCAAATGGAAGATGCACTTTTTCCCCTCCGTTTACTGCAGTTCTGTCTCCTGAGCTTAGCTGTATTAAATTCAGTTTCTGATGTGTCATTTGATTATGTAAATTTATCCTCTCCAGGGGCCCAAATATCGCCGGCACTCTGTTGCTGAGTAACAGTGAGGAGACGCATACCTTCAATTAAGATACTTACTGACAAATAAATCATTTGAGCTTATGTACACTAGCAGCGTTCAATAGTTTGGGCTCAGTAAGATTTCTTTCTCTTTGTTTGTGGAGGGGGATAAGTAATACATACTTTATATTTATTTGTTA